TTTTCTTGACTTTCTTGGCGCGGCGAGCTTGAGTGCCCCAAATGGTTTCATTAGCTAAGCTGCAGTTCACTGGAATTCTCGTTATCTGCAATATTGTTGAAGCTTTTTTTCTTATTATACAGATCTGATTCTTATTTATGAGTAGATATCTACATAACTATATATGCTGCTAATACTTTGACTCCATTATGTCTTTTAGCTACTGGAATTTAAAAGGCTTTTTTTTATATTTTATAAAAATCTCTATCTTGATTTTTATTTCCCTTTTAATTGTATGCGTTTGGTTGTTTTATTAGAGATCATACCTTACTTTGTGTATCAATTGATCAATATTATTGAGGGTTTAACTTAAAAACGTTGCTTTGTAGGACTTGTGTTTTTTGTTTTTATTTAGTGCTAAAACTTGCGAAGCGTCCAATTCTCCTTTAAATGCTTGATTCTTTCCAGGTTTGCACACACCTAATTCGCATTGTTATATTCAATATATTTTTTCACAACTTTCCAATTCACATAAGGGGCTGAAAAAAACGCAAATCAATGCTTGAAAAGCAGCTTTTTAAGGGTCGGGTCAACAAAACCGGAATTGTCGATCGTCACCGTTTCTCAAAATTAGAAATTAAAAAAGAGCTAAGTTCGGGTGTAACCGAACATTTTAAACTCTTGCAACTTGCAAATATCAAAGTAAGGAAAATACATTCAGATATAGCAAAACTTTATGTTAAACTAGAAAAATGTTAATTTCAGCTGCACCGAAGCACTTATACCCTTCACGGGGTGTCTTTTTGTTTACATTTAACCAATTCTCTAATCTTTGTTTACATTTGGGATTCTTTTGTTTACATTTTATGGGGTCGTTGCCCCTTTGTTTACATTATGAGGTCAATAACCTTACTGTTTACGTTTTTCCAAGGTCAATTGATATTTGGTTGATATTTTATAAGGTCAATGAGCCTTTTGTTTAAATTTAGCCAAGTCCACAATCTATTTTCGATTTAGCGAAGTCCAGAACCATTTTTCCATTTAGCGAAGTCAACAACCTTTGCTTACATTTAGGGCCAGTGACCCTTTTGTTTACATTTTATGGGGTCGATGACCCTTTTGTTTACATTATGAGGTCAATGACCTTATTGTTTACATTTTGCCAAGGTCAATGAACCCTTTGTTTACATTTTATGAGGTCAATGAACTTTTTGTTTACATTTAGCCAAGTCCACAACCTATTTTCGATTTAGCGAAGTCCAGACCCATTTTTTCCATTTAGCGAAGTCAACAACCTTTGTTTACATTTTATGGGGTCGATGACCCTTTTGTTTACATTATGAGGTCAATGACCTTATGTTTACATTTTGCCAAGGTCAATGAACCCTTTGTTTACATTTTATGGGGTCAATGAACCTTTTGTTTACATTTAGCCAAGTCCACAACCTTTGGCTACATTTAGCCAAGTCCAGAACCCATTTTCGATTTAGCGAAGTCCACAACCATTTTTTTTCATTTAGCGAAGTCAACAACCTTTGTTTACATTTAGGGTTGGTGACCCTTTTGTTTACATTTTATGGAGTCAATGACCCTTTTGTTTACATTATGAGGTCAATGACCTTATATTTTACATTTTGCCAGGTCAATGAACCCTTTGTTTACATTTTATGAGGTCAATGAACCTTTTGTTTACATTTAGCCAAGTCCACAACCTGTTTTAGATTTATTGAAGTCAACAACCTTTGTTAACAATTGCCTTTTGTTTACATTTTATGGAGTCAATGACACTTTTGTTTACATTATGAGGTCAATGACCTTATATTTTACATTTTGCCAAGGTCAATGAACCCTTTGTTTACATTTTATGAGGTCAATGAACCTTTTGTTTACATTTAGCCAAGTCCACAACCTGTTTTAGATTTATCGAAGTCAACAACCTTTGTTAACAATTGCCTTTTGTTTACATTTTATGGAGTCAATGACACTTTTGTAAATTGGTCAAATCGGACTCTGTAGCAGATAGTTGTTATTTTGTATGGCAGCTATATGCTATAGTGGTCCACTCTGAATTATTTCTTCAGAGATTGCAGCAAAATCAAAATCGAGAATGGATTGCAGTTATGACGATTATTGGCGTTGTGTGGGCATGGCAGTGGTGGAGTTACGCCCATTTAAAAAATGAACTTATGGTGCCAAAAAACAATCGGATTTCAGCACGTCTCATCATCCTGATCCTTTATATATATATATATAACTCTACATCTAACTTGATTAGTATTAGCTGATAGAAACAACCGTTAGAGGAATAAAAATATTATACTCTGTAGCAGCATGTTGCACGAGTATAAAAACGTCGAGAAATTTTCACCAAAATTTGCATGCTTTTGTAAAAAGGACTATCAAAAATACCTAATTTACTTTTAACGATCCTGTCAGAAATTCTGCTGGCAACAAATTCTTTATCAAATATGTATCTTCGGAATAATAAAAAGTTTGAATAAAATATTTAATTTTATATATAAAAAAAATTATTGAAAATAGGGCGTTTTTTGCACGACGGAACCCATGTAACCCCTTAAATATATTATCACAACAATTGGACTAGACATATTTTTGCCCTTTTCAAATAGTATAGAACTGATGCACATGTGACCAGTAACTAATAATGGACGACCCTTATGTGAAAATCCCATATGCTTGTCCACACAAGACTGACAAGACTGACTTTTTGGGTGCATACTAGTAATGAATTAGTTTGCATCTTATTCATTTCACTTAGGGTAACATTTGTTGCCATGACTTGCCAGCTTTTAGAGTAACCACTCTAATTGCTTGCTTAACAAATTCAATAAACAGTGGTGCTCAGTATTTGCATTTGAGCGACCAATAAACAAAGATGTTTCCTTTACAAAGTCAATTAATTATACTCGCAATATGCAAGAGCTGCTTCTGCTGCGGTTCGAAATGTTTTATTACAATTCATAAACTATTATTAAATAAATTATTACTTTAATGCAAATCACCTTACTAATTTACATAAATTTATCTCTCTCGGCTATATTTATATTTATAATTACCGTTTTTAATTTATTTTAAAAACAACTAACGGTTAAACCGCAAGCTGATGCAGCTTGCATAAGCTCTAGCACGAGCGACAACACAACAAGCTGACATGCAGTGCGATTGTTGCTGTTATTGTACGCGCGTAATGATGCCCAGCTTTGGTTGATTAACTGCAGTCGCTGCTCCGAAGCGTTGGCCAGCGCTGCAGGTGCCCAAGTGTCTGCATACTCAAATAGATCCGCCATAAAGCGGTAGAAAATTGACGATGTAATTATATACTCGCGATAATTTTTAATTAATATGTGCATTTTTATTAATTTCTCCTCTCAATGGATCATTATTGGTTGATGAATCGAAGCAAATGCTGTTAGAAGCTGTGCGGATGTTGTATTGAATTGGTGGCATTGAGCTTCTTGACGCATCTTCGCTCATCGCATATGTAAATGTGCAATATTTTTACAAGCATGACAGTTATCCGTCTTTGTTGTAGTGCTTTTCGGGCTTTGATTTATTGTTGCTAGTAAAAGTTGAATTTGTTCACGCTTAAATTGCAACATGAAGCTGACAGTGTGCGAGTTCGTGTCTTAAGTCTTTTGTTTCCAGCAATAGCGCTATGTTACTGAGCTTCTTTGAATGAAATGAAGCGCTGGGTGTGCGATGCTGGTGCTTAAATAATGAATAAAGTCTAAAAAATTAATTTGTTTTTAGGTTAGAAATGGTATGAAAATTTTATACTTATCAATTTCAGTCATTAGTGTATACATATGTATGTGAGTATACCATATGTTAAAAAAAATTGCGCGAAATTATTGAATTCGAAATTCGCTACAACCAAGTTTTTTTGAAATTCCTGCTCTTAAGCTTCGCTATATTTCTTCTCTAATATATTAGTTTTCTAACACATTTTTCATTTGAATCGGATTTATTTACTTATTTATTTCTGATTGCAATTTACAAACATATATTTCTAGATAATTAAGTATACCTCTGTGTACTCAAATCCGACTTATACTTATTTGTATTCATATGGCTCATCAGTTTATTTACATTAATAATAAATTTAATGGTGTTTTTGGAACGATGCCGCACGCATAATTCGGCTTGTAGGAACACATACATACACACATATCTACATAAATATATCCCGATATGGGTTGGCGTTGGTTTTCATAATGAGTGAGCGAATGTGATTTGTTGAATGTTTGAAACCTTGCCAAACGCCAGCTGCATATGCAATGAGCCTTCTGTCTATTTAGCATTCAACTTTGTATGCAGCACATAGTGTCTAATGCTTAAATCTGCTATTAGATCTGTGCCGCATTACCGGCTTTTTGTAGGCTAAGCGCGTAGTGCGCGTAAATTGTTGAATGACCTCATGCACTTGAAAACTTTACAAGATTGTATGAAATTTTGCACGATTTGAGAAGAGGCTGAATATGAACAAATGTCCATAATAAAAAGCAATTTTGTTTATATTATAAGTGTGGAATTAAAATGAGTAAAAAATGAATTTTTTGCTTATTTGAGTACAAGTTTTTGATATTTTTGTTGTGAAATAATTATGAGATGCGAAAGCATAATTTTATTTAAAATATTTCAGACTTATTTTATGTATTATTTTGCTCACACACACTTATTGGAACTTTAAAATAACTCACATAAACCGTTATATGTGATGCGTTCTCCAAAGAATATTGACAACAATTATTTATCATCTATAGACAACTATGCGAAACTGTCATGACTATTTTCAAAGCTTCACAGTTATTTCAAAAACAATTTTTGGACTAAATTAAGAGAAGAACAGCTTTTTCATACCTTAAATATCAGTTGAATAAGTTAAAATCGGTACTCTCTAAAGCTCTTCTCCAATTCATTATATTCTTTAGTTTTATTCCTTTTACCCAGTTAGTTTACCATTTCCCTTTACTCTATCTTCCTCTCTCTCTCTTCAACAGAACCGAAACCGCTCGTAACGATTGGCAGTGCAACCGATGTAGATAATGAAAGTTTGGACGAAATCAATTTGAATACAACTATCGAAGAAACACAATCGTCAACAAACCCCTCGTCCATTGCAGGCAATATTGATCCGAACGCAAATCCACTCTGGTCGGATGTAAACAATCCGCCGACGGATTCAATACTTAGTCAAGCAGCCTCATCATTCTCGGCGCTACCATCGGTGGCATCAAGCGTCCTTTCCACATTTTCTAAACGCATTTCTGAGTATTCAGCCTCCAATAGCCGCGAGCGTACACCCACAAGTGATAACGGCAATTTAGCACCACAATTAGACATACAACCCGCGTATTTGCAGCAACAGTTCCAAACGCAACCGCAACAAGAGCAACAGCAACAGTATCCATATTATAATATCGCGGCACCGCTTGCACCACCGCCCGTAGGCGCTGATCCAGCGAGCGTTGCTGCCACACCATACACAAGTGCCGTAAGTAGCGCAGCACCGCCACCGGCAGCACCGAAATTTTATACGCCCACAGAGGTGCCAACTTTGCCCACAGCTGGTGCAGCAAATCTTCCACCTCCAGGGGGGCAGAATACCTATCGCTTGGCGGCGAAGAAGAAGTTGTACGCCCCCATACCCGGATTCTCGGAACACTCTAGTGGTGTTGGTGCTCCAGCGCCAGCAATACCTACCTCGAGCACAGCCCCGCCATTACAGGGCATACCACCACTGCCACCACAACCTGCTGTGCCAACCGATCCTCTTGGTAACCCACTACAAGCTTATCCATACGAGCCAAATTACGAACAAACTGAATCACACGCGCTGAAGCAGGAGGAACGCAAAACCGGCGGTCTTTTTTCTAATATTAGCAGTTTGGTGCCAAGTGGCGTGCTTCAGAACATATCTGGTTTAGTACAGTCCGCCACAGGCACTTTTGCGCAAGGCACAAATAAGCTCGAAGAGTCTATACAACAGCCGCACTACGGTAATTCGGGCGCGTACCAGCAATCACTTGTAGAACCTGCAAACGTTGATGCAGCTCAATATTTTGGTGTTAGTGTAGTTGCACCTCCCGCACCACAATTTTACCCCCCACCTGTAGAGGGTAATCAGCTTGCTGCTCCATTTTTCGCACCACCCCAGCAGTCGCCACTGTCGTCACAACAACAACAACAGGAAGATAACTCTGCCCAAATTCAAGCACCGGCAGCTCCAACAACTTCCCAACTATTTGCGCCACCTGCGGTCGCATCAGTCCAGGCTGTGCCACCACCTCCACCTACTGCGGGATTTATATCTGGTCCACCCAAAAGTGCCACGCCGGATTATAGCAAACAACGTCCATCCGCATCGACAACCACACACACATTCTTCGATCCTACAAAACAACCGTCCACACCAGCCTCCTTCTTTGGTGTACCACAGCAACCAACCGTTAACCCAACGCCAGTAGCTTCAACCGATAATTCGAATTTATTATCTCGTCCAGCACCGCCCGCAAATATTGCTGCCCCTCCATCGGCAGCATCAGTCCCCTCAGTAGCGGTTCCCACATTTGATTCAACACAAGAAGTATCAACGCAATTTCAACCACCATCATTGTTTGAGCCACCGTCGCAACTAAATTTAACCCCGACACCAGCGCAATTGTTCCAGCCACCAACTTCAACTGGTATACCATTATTCCAACAAGGAACTGTTGGACTAAATATTCCCACACAGGTACCAACACTTTCAACAGCGGTAAATTTTACTCCACCACAATCCGTCGGCACACTTCCTCCGCCCGCAGCTTCACCATCTGTTTCCAACAACCAAACTCCTCTTCCTCCAACAGCTGATGGTACGACTTCATTTCGTTTGCAGAAGGGTACGCGACTTTACAAGAGTCCTTTGACTTCCGCTGAGACTGCACCAGTTCAAATACCGACTGGCATAGCTCAGCCCCTTGCTCCTCCAACAAACTTTTACAATCCATTTGGATATACTGCGCCAGTTAGTGCACCCAACCCTGTCGCTCCACCACCAGTCCCATCTGTAGTACCCAGTTATTTCATCGCTCAACCTGCAGAGTCTATTGTCGGGCTCTTTACCGTTGATAAAGCAGGACCCATCCCTAATAAAGACGTTGTAATTCCGGAATCACAACCGTTTTGCGCTAATGTTAATGCGAATCAAGTTAAAGCTGAAGAGCCGCAATCATTCCCTGCACCTACCAGTGTAGTGGACAAAACCCCAGAAAGCAGTATTGCTCAGTCTTTAACAGCGGATGATTTAGGAGCAATAATTCAACAACAAACTATTGAACCGGAGATATTGGCGGTCAACGATTTAGAGACTGAAGACCATTTTGCCCCACTTGAGCCACCGTCTCTAACTAAGAAACAAGGTGAATCGCTGCACGAAACTATAGATCATCTCTCTTTAAGTGATCCGCCACAGGAGAAAAATAAGGAACAAGACTTTCAACTTCCTCAGAGTGTGCCAGCATCAATTGAAAAAGGAACTTCTGAAAGTGCACAAGAGTCCTCATTATTCAACCAGCAGACTTTTCATTCCGACTACCCACATACTGTGGAACCTAATTTATCTGAGCCACAAAAGTCGCAAATTCAACAAGAAACTCAATCTAAAACTAGCGCAGCCATTGAAGAGCTACCGACAGCTGTAAATAAACCAGAAAACTTAGTTCAGAAACCTTTCCTCGAATCACAGGATCAACAATTTGAGCTGACCCCAGTTAAAGAAACCGAACTTCAAACTGCGAGTTTACCTTTCCAAGAACCTCATCTTACCAAGCAGCAAATCTCACTACCCCCACCAACGTCCACTCAACCTCAAGCAGTAAATCCGCTTCTGCCACCAATTCTGCCGGACGTCACTCGGCCGCCAACACAAAATCAAAACTCCAATCCATTTCGTAAAAACGTTGGAGCTTCGCCATTTGCGTCGATTGCTCAGCCACACAACGAGACCCAACCGAAATTAGCGAACTTCTTTGCCGATGCGCTAGGCGTTGCCGGATCTGGCACAGCAGAATTCAATATATTTACGCCGTCACAACAGCGGCCGTTGGTCGGCACCGCAGAGTCACAACCGTCTTTCATTCCAACTGCAGATCCAGTGCAAACGCCTGTAGCCCCTGCTATAATCCCCGCTTCTGCAGCTCCTGCTGCGGTGCCAAGCACAGCTGGCTTTTTCGACTGCGTTGAACCGACACAACCGAACTTCTTTCAACCCGTACCAGCGCAACAAAAAACCGAATTCCCGTCACTGCCGCCACTTAGCGGTATAGCACCCCCACCCCTCGCGTGCGAAGCGCCAAGTGCATCTGAGGCGATTCCACAAACCCCGCTGGGTATTCCCCCACCAATTGGCTTTGATAATATTCTACCACCAAATCCATTCGTATCAACACAAACCGCAAATCAAATACCAACTGCGCCGCCTCTAGCGAGCTCCGACATCGATACAGTTTCTGTCACAACAACGTCTGTCGCTACAGACGTTCAGGCATCCCCTTTTACTGGTGACAACACTGAAACTCAGCACTCGGAAATTGTAAATTCATTTTCGAATTATTTCTATCAAACAGCAAATTTAACAATTGATAGTAAACAAATACAAGCAAAACAACAACAACAGCAATTACCGCAAATTGCGCAACCAGCTGCAAACGTGCCCCCATTGGCGGATACTAGCTCTTCCTCCGCCAATTTCTTTGACACTTTTGCGCCGCAGCCGCAACCAACGCAGTTACCTACAGCAACTGACGGGAATTTGTTAGCAACCCAACAACAGACAATTACCCAATCGAACGAAGATCAACGCTTGCAGAATTTCTTCAACAATCCACCGCAACGTGAAAACAACGCCGGCGTAGGTGATCTCGGCTACGATTTGGTGCATAGTGGTCTGGCCGTGCGCCATTTGGGCTCAGTCACATCCGTTTCGAATTTGGTAGAGCCGCCCTCATCTTCGTGCTCAGAGTTTTCCGAGTTGAATAACAGTAACCCGAGCGCACGCATTTTGCCTGCTGAGCTGCAAATCAGACGTAACCCGGAGAAAAGCATAATTTTTGCAGAGACACAGCAAGAAGTGTTGCCAATAGCTGCTGAAATCAAGCAGGAAGTGCCAGCAGCAGCGGAGTCAACAAAAATCGTCGACACACCACTTGAATCTACAGTCGCGAATTCCGTTAGCGAAGTGCCGTTGGAGAAGCACTACGAAGATTTGCCAGAGGAAATCTTACGTGAGCTGAGAATGGCCAACCTGTTGACGGGAGAAAAGGCTGCAGCTTCGGCACCGCCAGTGGCTGTGGTGAGTATTACTACAGAGGCAATAAATAAAGAAATAGACAATATTAAATATATGACTTGTATGGTATAAAATCTACATACCATCTACATTGAAGACCAATATAACTATTTTATTTAATAATAGTAATAAATGATTATTTTTTGTAGCCCTACTCGCCGGCAGTCAAGCATTGGTTTTACAAACGTCCAGCCGGTAATAATAAGTTTGTCTGGACACCCTTTAGTCACTATGACTCTGCTTTGCTGGAAATTACATTAACGATGGGCAGTAAGTCCATAACAACTACAACAAATCGAATAAGAAATAAAAGAACTCTCTTTTTTTACTCGCACAGGTAATGCGCCGAATATTGTCGCCGTCGAGGGTGGACGTTACGATGTTAATATAAGTGAACGCACCAAAACGCCTGTCTACTGGGAGAGTACGCCTATTGAGGTCAGACGCTGCTCATGGTTCTTCAAGGGCACCGACTCTAAGATGGTGCCTTATGAAGAGTCCATAGCCGATCTGCTTGAAAATGAGTACAAGCAAGCGGTAGAGAGCGGAGAGTGGCATAAAAAGATCGTTTTGTCTATGAACGAGCAGGTGACATTCCACGGACCCACAGTAATTGTACACTTCCAGCAGCAGCAATCCAGCGATGCCTGGGGTGGCACTACGGTAAGTTTCATTTTTTATAGCAAAGACGATAGCAAAAAAAAATTAATAATAAAATAATATTATATAATATATTGTTTATATCAACAGCAAACGACGACACGACCACGTGTGGTGAAGCGTGATCTGGAAGAATTCAGTATTGAACAGGGCGAATCACAACGCGTAGATCACTTGCTGCTCATGGTGCACGGCATCGGTGATGCATGTGATCTGAAACTGCGCAGCGTGGATGAAGTTGGTTAGTATAGCCATTTTCTATTGCACTCTATAAAACATTTCGCAAATTAACTTATCTACTCTTCTATTATTTCGCCTTAGTTGATGACTTCCGCAACATCGCCCAGGCTTTGGTGCAGTCACACTACAAGAATTCAACAGAGATGGGACTAGTTGGCCGCGTTGAGGTTCTGCCCATTTCATGGCACAATCACTTGCATTCGGAAGAAATGGGCATTGACGAGAAGTTACGCTCGATTACCTTGGAGTCAATACCGAAATTACGTAATTTCACCAACAACACATTGCTCGATGTGCTCTTTTATACAAGTCCTAAGTATTGTCAGAAGATTATGAACACAGTGGCGGCTTCAATGAATGAAGTCTACAGCAAGTATCGTGAGCGGCATCCCGATTTCAATGGTGGTGTATCGTTGGCGGGGCACAGCTTGGGTTCGTTGATACTTTTCGATTTGTTGTGCCACCAGAAGGCACCAAAAGAGAGTGAAGAACGGAATTTGGTAAGTTCCTTTTTGCTGTTTATATTGTTATAAAAGCTGGCGAAAAGCAAAGGCCCATATTGTTTTAGTAATGCTATCGAATTGAAGTCCGGTTAAATACCAATTACATGCATAGATTCGAAAATCTTGTGAACTACTTTATTTTTGAACTGCTTAAACCCATGTTTTCTGCTTCATATATTTAACAAATTTGTTTTTCTATGCAGGAAAATCCCGATCAGCTTGGTAGCAGTCCAATGGATGTTAGCAATGACGACGTGAGTGTCACAAGCTATACAATGGGTCCCGCTGGCACTGGCCAACCATTTATACATTATACACAGCTTAACTTTCAACCGAAAAAATTCTTTGCTCTGGGTTCGCCTATCGGTAAGTCTCGCATTTAACAAGTTAACGTGTTAACATCTCATTTTTTATTATTGATTATTTATTTTATATATTATTTCCGTTAGGCATGTTCGTCACAATTCGCGGCATTGACAAATTAGGCGTAGACTTTCGTCTGCCCACATGCTCTGGCTTTTACAACATATTTCATCCTTTTGATCCGGTTGCCTATCGCATTGAAGCGCTGGTTAATCCAGACTTGAGCGGTGTGCGACCGGTGCTGATACCACATCACAAAGGCCGAAAACGCATGCATTTGGAGTTAAAGGAAACAATGACGCGCGTAGGTGCTGATCTAAAGCAACGCTTTTTGGATACGTTCAAGAATACGCTAGAGAGTGTTAGCTTTTTGGGTGGCAGTTCGGGGCGGAGCAGTCGTGAGGCGGAAGAGAGCATGTCGAAGGAAGTGGATAAGGTAGGTGAAGCTGATGGATCTAGCTATGTATATTTTTACTAAACGACTAAGTAAGCTACCGCTATAAATATACTTATAAGAAAAATATACAAACGCAAAATCGTTTACTCATTTCTACAGGTCTTAAACATGCAAATAGACGCAGAGAAACATAAAAAGTCCATCTCATCCGAAGATCAACCTGGTTCATCGCAGGGTAACACAGATGCGTCGCGTACGCGCTCAGATTCTGTTTCGACATCACACTCCGATTCCGAAATGGTTGAAATTGATTTCCCGCTCGGAAAATTGAACGACTCCAAGCGGATCGATTATGTGCTGCAGGAGGCGCCACTCGAATTTATCAACGAATACATATTTGCACTGGGTGCCCATGTCTGCTATTGGTAAGAGACGTCTGTTAACAAGTCAATACGTAAATAAATATTTTCATGCGTTTGCCATTGCAGGGAATCCGAAGACACGATACTCTTTGTCATGAAAGAGATTTACACCGGCCTGGGCATTAGTCCCGACAATCAGGTACCACAGCAGACAATGACAATTGAGCGACCCAGCTCGAGAAATAGCAACCCGCTATCATCTATCAGCGAGAAGCGTTGACTCATTTGACGTATTTTAATATTTGAGCGGAGTAATGATTAACTAGTTTAAAGATAGTGTTATAGATTCAATACGATTTCGATTTCGGGCTAACAATTTAAAAGAAATTTGCATTAAAAGTTATTGTGTTATCATCTTAATTTACATTTTCTTAAGTATTTATTTTTGTACAGAGAAAGATACCCAAATTTGTATTAAAATATTGCTACCTGCACTCCGTCTTCTGTATAAAGCAAATACATTTAATTTAGCTGTAATAGTTGTTGTTATATATTAATCACTTAAGTAGTCTGGTAACTTGTATTTTTTTTAAATGTTTTTTTGGAAATAATTTATTTGGAAAAATAAAATTCAATAAAAAAATATACTAGTTCCTGCGAGAGATAATGATGAGTAATATAACATATTCAAATTTCAGTCCAATCGGTTGGATAGAAAATTTTTTATCGTCCGTAAGAACGTTGTTTCGAAAGAAACGCGTTTCGAGTTTCAACAACAGATTAAATATGTTATGTAATACTGTTACGAGACGCTCACCTATAAGTGCTATAACTTCATAAATATTTCAACTTTCGTTCTAAAATTGTTACAGTGTATTCTTAATATATAGTACTTTCGAAAAAAAGTCGATTTTTCCAAACCAAGTTATCAGACTACTAACTTCAAATACTACTTACTGACATGCGAAAAAAACATACGAAGTAATTTTTTAACTTTTTTATTTTATTTTTTTACTAACATTGTATGTACTTGGTATTTATGCAAATTGAGCTTTGACACAATAAAGATCATAAATATAAATGTGAACCTGTTGTTTAATGAAATCAATATTTGAAAATTTTCGATACTCTCAAAAGCTTTTTTTTTAACTTAAATACTAAAAAGCGAAAAAATCCTTGCTTTATGATAACCAAAAACGAGTCATAGCTTCTTAAACTTACTGCTTCTTATTCTGCTTTGCGGCTATTAGATTTATGGTATTTACGTCTGTCTGCTTAGTGTTAGAAGCTGCGGAAATTTCCTCAACATTTCGTTCTCTGCCATTCTTTGTATGTTTTTGTACATAGAAATGATTAAGCTTTAATTTATTCTCATCAATAGCAGCTAACTCAGATTGTGGTAGTCCATTAACAACGTTGCCAATTATACTGACCTTTAAAAGAGAAAATATATTCAGAATTTTCCATGAGAAATCAGCAATCCAAGCAACAACAAAATGCCAAAGTCGACCGAAAATTCAAAGCAACGCTCACTTGTTGAAAGTTTTTGCAATGCAAAATAGTGGTCTTAATAACACTTTTCGTTCGTCTTTACGTCCGTTTATATTTCTGCACATTCGTTCATTTTTACATCTTACAAAAAAGTGTGAATACTTACATCAATTTTGGACCAATTCTTCACCTCTCCAAAAGCTTCCTTGCACATCGCCAATTTGGCAAATGCTTGCAATTGTGTTTGTGGACAAGATTCGATGCCACCAATCCATTCGGCCGCAGCTCTAACATACAAACATACATACATAAAGCTTCAAATGAAGCACTAAAACCGCGAACAAATCATAGAATTACTTAAAAGCATCCGCATGCATGCGCTCAATGTCACTTTCATTCAAATGACACACGATTTCGCCCATCGAAATCAAATCATACTCCGAATAAGTTTCCGGGCCCTTGCCCAGCCACTCGTAACGTACTTTGCTGGCAATCAATTGCATCTGTTCGTCATTAAAACCGTTGCTCGTGTCGTTGCTCAATGTGTGCACCCCACCGAAGGCCTCCACTATCTCTACACGTGACATGCTGATGTTGGACAGCTCCATGACGCTGATGGCAGGTAGCACCAAACGGATTTTGCCATACACCGCTGCCGGTACATTCTCGACGCCATCGAAAGCCTTCCGAAAGAATAATGAAATACAGTTATTTGTGCTAAAAAAATAAATGTAACTGGCTGTGTGTGCTTACAATTTTTATTAGGCGCCACACATTCTCACTAGTATTGACCGATATGCCCTCACTGTTGGCCACACCTAGGCAGGGCTCCAAGCTTGCCCAGTCGGTATTGGTAATCTCCTTGTCCTGCAGCAAAACTTGACAATCGTAATTCTGGCCATTCAAAAAACACACGCTACTGGCAAACAGTCCAAACGCCACCGCCAAGCATTTAAGTGCGAACTGCATTTTAAGGAATTCTTTACGAGAATGTAAAACTTTGTGCATTTTGTCTACAATTTGCGCTTAGAAAATGTAAGTGCGTATATGGGTCATGCCAATCAAATATAGGCTTTGAGTGATGCATCCAATTTGGTGAGTTCATGGGTGATCACATCAAAATCAATAGAGCTTTTAAAAATTCATTTGCAATTCGAAGTTGAAAAATGTAACGGCACGACCAATGCCATCTAAAATTCCTTTATTTTTTTACATATGAATTGGGTGGCCAAACATAGCATTTTCTTTTAAAAGCAGGTTAGGTTTGGCAGAAAATATCGAAAAATAAAATCCAAAATAAAAGTTTTAATGCAAACCATACACTTATTAAGAATATTGATAAATCAAATTAAATAATGAAGCGTATTTTCATCTTCTCGCAATTCTAGCAAGCGAGATGGCCGCGCCGAGAAGCCAATTTATGTTCACGTAGTTCTCTAAGAAAGCTTCGAGAAATACAAGTTCGATCTGTATTTCTCACAGGAGATGGTATTCTACTTATTTATCGTTGGTTCATAATGTTATTGCCATTAGTAAAATTCGCAATTTTTGAGCTCCAGCAAAGCATTTATAAAAATAATGTCTGATTTTTCTAATCATCAATCTAATCAAAATATACTGGAAATTTCAAATGAAACGATTGAAATTAAACACGTTTCCATCCAATTGTTTCAGGACCATACATTTTTAAAGGTGTAGGCATCATACATCAGCAAGTTACCAAACGGCGAATCTTTCTGCTCACTGCATGGCTTAAAAAACTACAAAGCTTTTATCTGACTATCTTTGTATAACTTGCATAGAACACCTATTATCCTTAGCAGCACCTCCTTGCGGGTAGAGGTAATAATTTACCCGCGGTAAGGCATGCCTGTCGTAAGAGGCGACTAAAAGCCAAATGCACTATGACGGTTATTTTACCTTGTTCAGTAATATCAGCATAGTAATGATGTCAGAAATAGTGCTATAAGTATAATACTCAGCTTGAACTGATATTATAGACTTTAAATGAGATTCCAAATAAAAAGACATTTGAAGTTCAAGCGACAAATGTCACCAGTCATTGAGCAGTAGCTTCGTCTACACAGTCTTACCGAGGACTCAACTCTGGTACCACAGGGAGCAGAATGCCCTTGGACTTCGGTTCAATCTGCTCATTGGTTTCGGCCCTTTGGGGAGTATCGTAGTGGCTGTGGTTTAAACCTAAATGCTGGAAGAACTGAATTTTCAGTTAAAAAAAAAAAGAAGTTGCACAAGCAAGATGGTCAGTGTGCCCCTACACACTGGCCACTGGTAACCAAATTAATACTTGCAAATAGCTCGTATTATTTGGGGCGCTTATCAACGCATTGTTTTGATACGTTATGCTTTGGAGCACCGTGAGGTAAGGCCGTCGCCGGCAGGTACTCACGTAAAACACTCCGGACGTTATCTTGAGCAGCAGTCGTCTGTACTTACTTGAAAAAGTCTTGAATCTCTCGCAGACATTTTTGACGGTCCTTCTTATATATTCATATCTACCTAAATGTATATATAATAAGTATATATGTACATAGATATATACTTAAGAAGTTATTTTTTTTTACATATTTAGGGAGTTAAAATCTTTGATTGATTATAGCTATCAAAAGCGATGTTGGAGATAAGAAATATTAAAGGACTAATTGTGCGTTCAATGTACACCTTGTCTCCATGAATTATCTAATTATACGATAAGTCTCTTTTAAAAATATAAGTAAGGGCGTTAGTTTTCAGATCGAAAATGTTTAAGGCGTCAGTGAACGTTGTGTAACATTGGTTCGTAATGCCGAATTACTAAAACCGTACATGTGGATACATGATACAATCCTTGGTCCGGAGATGGCCAGTCCATTATATATACGACACTGGGTAAATCAAATGGACTCGCCAGTAGTCTGAAGCATATAGCATCCAACATGCTATAACTCTGAGGTATGAAATCAGAAGACACAGCTGTATTTTTAGCGGGCTTAAAAATTATAGTTAGCCTTTTGGTTAGCCAATTGAATAAGCACTACCTCCATTTTCATATATTTTATTATATTTGCTATAATTTATTAACATAAACATAATTTTTTATATTATTACTTAATTATTATTTATAAGGATTAATTAATTTTTCTAGTACAATGTTTTTTTTTAACTAGATGAATTTATTTAGACTTTAGACTAAGAAAGCGTTATTTCCTAAGTTTAAGGTAATTAAAAGTTAATTAGCTTAAGAATAGTAAAATTAAAAGATTATAAAAAAAATAAAATATAAACGATTATAAAAGCATTAACAATGAATTTGACTAACACACTTTCATACTTTTATACAACCATTCAACAATTTGATCTGGAATTGATATTTACATTTTACATAAACACCGTTAACCCCCTGAATTCAGTAAGAACAATTTACTCTAATACAAATTACATATCTAGTCCTGTGAGATTAGTTAAATCTATTTTTGCCTATGACCATAAATGAACTCACTCGGAGAGAATTATAAGAGAGTAATTCCTCAAGCACCTCATTTTGAGTAGCAGATACAGATGAGTACTTCAGTTATGGTACTCCAGACCTCTAACTCTCTTTCGCATTATCTAACGGTACATCCAAGAAAAATACTTTTCAAACAGGTTCGGAGAGGAAAGATGCCGTTAGAGGTGGGTTAGCTCTGCACTTGCTTTATATATATTGATTGGAAAATATTTTGGATACTGCATTAGTAAGCTGAATAGAACAGAACTAGTCAACTCTCATGAGCGTATTTGGGTTTGTGTGCACTCGGTGTGAATATACAAGCAAATTGCATATTTGACGCTTTGCTGAAGAGTTTATTGTTACGACCTCTGCGAAGATATGTCATGAATCGATGAATGAGAGCCTAACTATGGTAATTGAGAGCTTTCTATGGCTTGTGACTTTTATATAAAGTTGAGAGGCTGCCAACTTTGAAGCTGCATTGAAGAAATGAGTTTTCGAAATTTTATCACGGATCGAAAAATTTCAGAAAAGCTGTAACCAATTTGTAGATTCGATGAATTGCGTACTACCTCGATTTTTCAATGATAACCTCGATAAAATTTTTGATTCACTCAAATCTGAGAACATTACTTCGTACTTTAAAACTTATCATCTACCAGATCACCAATGCCGTCCACGCTGATGTTCAGTGATAGAGGCTTGTCTAGCGACAGCAAAGAGGGGGGCGATTTGGTTTGATCGTCGTCGCCACATAAGCTAAACGAGGGCAAATCTAAGCTCAACGCACTCGGGTGCTGAGAGTTATGCAGTTGACTGGAGCTGTGCATAAGATGTGATAGACCTGAGTGTTGTAGATGATGGTGATGATGTTGTTGTTGCATTTGATGCAGCTGATTATGATGGAGCGCATCATGTTGTTGTTGCTGATGGTGCAACAGTTGCATTTGATCATCGTTTTGTTGCTGTTGATGTTGCTGATGGTGTATTTGGTCCAGCGAGTGATGTATGACCACACCACAGCCATCCACCGTCTGACCGGTTTCAAATGACAGCCCATGTCCCAGATGATCCAGTGTCGGCTTATCATCCAATGTTAGCGCATGGTCCAAGTTGAGAATGCATTCGGCTTTGAAGTTATCAATTGTAAATTGATCGACGTTAAGAAATTTCATTTCATCATAAGTCGAATTTGTTGTTGCATCCAGATCTAGTGAGGTGTTAAGACCGCCGCTAAGCAGGCTCACATGATTACTTATGCTGGTATTGTGATTGAGATGGCTGCTTTGCGGATCCGCTATATTGCTGTTATTGTTGTTATTATTGGTCATAATTAAGGGAGGTGGCGTGTTCGATTGCGTCAGCGTATGCGACATGCTGGACATTGTACTCGTGGGCGGATAAGTTGACCACTCCATGGAGACGCCGCCGCCACGTTCCAGTTGATCGATATTGAGATTGAGAAATATATTTGGTGACATTCGAGACGGTGATAAGCAGCCAACACTAAACGGTGCCTTCGGCTCATTATCCAACGAATTTGCGGACTGGGGCGGTGTGTCTGGTAACAGTGTGGTGCCTGTAGATGCAAAGAAATATGGATGCAAATCTATATATTGTGGTTTGAAGATGACCTCACCTAAGGAGTTGTCCAGCTGTGCGATAGCATTTTCATCCGCATACGTAGTTTGTGTGCCCAGACCATCTTCGGTGTCTGGCAGATTAACACCCGGCGCATCGTTGCCGACTTTCTCCTGCTTGCGCCACTTGGCGCGCCTATTCTGAAACCAAACTTGTACACGCGCCTCTGTTAGATCGATGCGCACCGCTAATTCCTCGCGAAAGAAGACGTCCGGGTAGTGGGTACGCTGGAAGGCGCGCTCTAGCTCTAGCAACTGCAATGAGTTGAATGTGGTTCTGCAATAAAATGGTAAGAAACATATAAATAATGCGCACACTCGGTTTTTTGCTTTTTGAGTTGCCCACTGTGGCGTGCTTAACGTAAGCACGCAAATTACGCAAAATTCCCTACCCACCCCCACAGAGGCCACAATAGTTTGATCATTGGTCGTTATTCTCGTGTGTGTATTTGTAGATTTCGTCGTGTGGTATTACTTTCAGTTGGTTCAATGTACTTATTGTGCTTCGCCATAATACTTAGTCAGTCGGTCACTTGGAATATTTTTTTCTTTCAAATTTTTATTTTCCTCATACTCTTCTTTTAGTTTTTGTTTGCCTACTTTTGTCATTTCTTCTCACCATCAATATTTTCCTCTAATGCTCGATGGGTAATCACTGGCGAAGTGGAATTGTGAAACGTGTGAAAATATATTTGAAACGCCCTCTATGCTATTCTTTTACGACCATATTTACCAACTAAGATTTTTACGTTTGCCATTTTTTCGTTCTGTGTAGAAGAAAGTAGGGAAAATATGTAGTAACAATTCATCACCATCATCAGCGTGAAATCCCTTAGACATGATGTAATCATGTATTTCCATATAAGTATGCATGTTTAGCTGGTTCTTTTCAATATCGATTCTAGGGATTTGTTTTTTTTTTGCTACAGCTCTTTAAGTACATATGAATTTATTTAGTTATGTTGACAGATAATTAACGGTTATCTATGAAATGCATAATAAAATATATCTTAACATCCGTTTTCCGATATTAAATGTCAAAATATGTTTAAAAGAATATCTGGGTAGATAAAAAAGTGAAAAGCAAAGGTCGTTCGTGTGAATTTAATGCCGTATTTACTGCAGTTACTTTTAGAAAGACCATGTGACTAATTTGACTTTTTTGAGTGAAGTCAACCTCCGAAACCAAGAAACAAATAAAAACAAGAAATCAACCACCGAGTTCTTATTTGTTAATATTTTTTAATTTTTAGGATTTGAACTCACGTTTTGAATTAATGAAAAAAGTCCAATGTCTGTCCAAATTCCCAACGACATTCGGCATTATATATCAAATGGGGGAAACTAAAAATTCCAAATACGCCAGTATATCCGAAAAATGTAGAAGAACCATTGAAATATTTGTTACAACTCAAACCAAGCGTAGAATACCAGGCCAATTCTAATATTATATAAATAATTTCTGCGAATCAAAAAAGCACAATTTTTAACGCTTAAAGTTAAAAATACGGATTTAATGAAAGCTATTTTCCATGCTCTCTCAAATTGTCTGTATCTCAAAGCGCACAAAAGTCAATCTCAAATGTAAATTTTTTCTTCTTTGCCATCAATGAAGCCGTAGCAAAAATATGTAAACCTTACTGATGATTACAACTTATGATTATCGTTGCTCAATGGTCATCAAAAATCGCAAAAATATATTTTAAAGTTTATATGCCAATGTAAAGAATGGACAGTTTAACCTATTTCCCCAGCACAAGCTTCAGCCTGACGAGCTTTTCTTAGAAGTGGCCAACGATTGCGGTTTGAAAAACATTTGATATTTTATTTTGGACGGTATTTTTACCCGGTATTGTTCAATGCAAGCGGTTGTAATGAGTCCATGAAATCATATAACTCATAGAATATTCAACTTATACAGCTTAAGCAAAGCTTTCAAAAAAAACTATCAACTTGTAGTTTTACGGGGTTACATGGGTTTCACGGCTTCAAAAAACATAAACAAAATTTTATTGACTTATTTAATTCTATAACCTGTCTAAAATATTGTCCTAAATTCTCACGTTGATATCAGTAATAGTTTTGGAGATACAGCTTTGAAAAGTCGCGCGCTCGAGCTCAAGTATATAGTCACAAACAAAGTATATAGTCAAACAAAGTCAAGTTCACAATCGGCTGTCAAGATTTCTCACGAACTACTCAACCGATCTTAATTTTTTACACAGGTCCTTAAGATATCCTTTACAAGGTATTGAATTAAATTAGAGTTATCTTCTTTCCATTATAATTATTTAAAACAAAAAAACGTCGAGAAATTTCCACCAAAATTTTGGTTTTTTTTAAACGTTTGCCAAAAATACAATTTTTACTTTACAATACCTAGTTAATGGTCTTAGTTCAAACACGCATTTTTTTCTTTTTACTTTTGATGATCCTGTCAGAAGTTCGGCTGTCAACGCGCAAGCACCTTTTTTCCGAGGGAATGCCGGAAATGACGTCGTTATGACCGAGTTTTGAATATTTTCCTTTGAAAATTCCACAAAATCTTTATCAAATATGTATCTTCGGAATAAATAAAAAAGTTTGAATAAAATATTTCATTTTTTATATGAAAAAAACAACTATTGAAAATAGGGCGTTTTTTACTCGACGAAACGCATGTCACCCTTTAAACAAATTATCAATTGTAACAACAAATGTTTTTTGAGTTTTTGAAGTACGTATGAAATACCGTTACCTAGATATTAAATCGCAAAGGTTAAAGGTTAACTAATAAATGAGTTGATAAAAACCAAGCTTAGGCTCTACGGAATTCATTCCAAAATTTTACCATCGTCACATGCTAAGTAATCAGGACAGAACAACGTGTAGACTTATATATGAATCATTTCCTGAGAAATTTGGCTTATTATAGGCTTTGATTGGACAGTTGTGTTAAATAATCATTGTAAAAGAAAACTTCTCCAGTTTATTTTGAATTGTCTGAATTTCGCTGACCGTAATATTAGAAAAAATTGGAAAAAAATAACTTACACCCATCTCATTCTCATTTAATGAAAGCGTAAAAAATTGTGTCGATAACTCTGACTTGTTGTTGTTGTTCCTTTTTTTTTGTTTTACATACCTGTATCGCCTCTGTTTTCGCTTCATTGTGCTTTTCTCCATAAGAGAATTTAACGATTTATTGGTGTCTTGACGAGCTGTGTTTCATATTCATTATTGTCTAACCACTTTTATAAGGAAACCTTAAGATATATACACCTGCACGTTCACATTTTTTCATATCTTCTAGTCATAGCATATATTTCCGATCTACATAATTAAATATGTATATAAAATTCACTTCTTTTTACAAAAATATATATGTTATAATGCATTTAAGTGGACATTTCTTCATGATTTTAAAAAATTTACTCAATATCTTTCACATTACGATTTTTTATAATTTTAATAACCGAAATATCATAGTTCAATAACATTTGGTTAACCAAAGTGTATTTAAATAAAATATTTTCCACAACGCACACAATGAAATATGTCCATGCAAACCGTTATGCTGGCATGTTTTGTACGTTGTTACGATTTTAGTCTGCTGTATGTCCCAACGACGATGTCACCAACTAGACTAAATTAGGGGATTGTGTTGGCATGTTCTGAACTTTAGAAGTTCGCTGCGGAAGCCCTAGAAATTTATGTTCTACGACTATTCTGTTCAACGCTTTTTTTTCTATTTCTGCTACTTTTGTTTTGAAATGTCTTTTTGTTTCAGCATTTTTAGCATTTCAGCTATACTATTTATATTGTTATTTTGTTTTTAACGCTGGCTTGTTGTTGTTGTCACGTATTATTCATTTCTCGTATTCGGTGATTATTTCGAAATCCCTATTGCACTTTCTACAAAAATATTTATTATCGTTGCTTATTTTTGTTTACTATTGTAAGGTTTTATTGTTGTTGTAATTATTATTATCCTCTTTACTTTAAGCTATTTATATACATACATACATACATACCTTTATACCAAATGACGTATATGATATGTGTAAAAAAAAGTAAAATCGGTGTGTAGTTAGAAAAAGATTTTATATATTTGTTGGATTTTGGATAAATATTGGTAATTCTAGCCGAAAAAATATATATTTTTGAAACTTTATGCGAGTGTGTGATGGTTTATGATCTCATAGGCTCATAACGAGAAAGCATGTGTTTTTATAACGGTGACAGACAACACACTCGTACATAACAAACATACTGAAAAGTTCGTATTGCTTTAAAGATAAATACCTTCATTCGAAAAATTCGATTTTATTATTTCAAATCGCATACCATCGAAGCCGATATACCTATTATAGCGACCTCTCAACCTGTCCATACAATTTTCGTAGTGCGATTTGTATTTTGCTTCAAATGAGGTGTCAATCTCGGCTATGACCTCTTAATTGTCGTTAAATATCTCTTCAGCGCGAACTCGTTTGTGGTCTGAAAAAAGAAAAATTCGCTTATGTTGCATTCATTGTCAACCCTTCTTACCTTGGTCTTTATTACTTGACTTTTTTCTTATAGTAAGAAGTTTCTCTCTCCAAGAAGCAAACTATGACGTACCTTAAAATATCGCATCTCTTCTAATACTTCGTTTTACTAAGAGTTACATACTTATGTTAAGGAAGACAATATGAGAAAGTCAATATTGTACTGTATGATCTTCAAGAATTTCTGCTAATCATAAAAAGACATTTAATGTATTATTTAAATAATTTTAACAAAATTTTCCAGCTGTCAATCCTGTGAATGTATTCAACAAGCTGTCTAAAGCTAAGCTATTTATTCTCAACAGGTTTTCTTAAATCTTTTTTTTTCATCGATATGGATAATAAATATTAAATTTTTCAAATAAAGTAAAGTCAAAATTTGGTGTAAATTTAAATTTGGCGTCATTTACGAAAAGGGTTCGAATTTTGAGACCGCAAAAGTCTGGTGTGAAGTTAAGGCATAACACAGTCTTAAGAAACTCAAACAAAAGTAATATCTCTACATCAAAGTCAATTTTATCACAGCGCTATAGAACTTTTTTGCTGACTCTTTGGTTATCCACTACAATATATAAGATGTTGCGATTGGAAGATTTCACGCATACCTATGCAAACATATATCACAATACTAAAAATATATTCGATGTATGTATATGAGAGGGATGAGGTGCTAAATTGGAAACAAAAGATTTGCTTTGATATTGTCTTAAACACCGGTAAACATGTATTCCACAAAGAAATATGGTACATATATATCTATGTACGTCACTTTAATAAGTGAATGAAATTATTAAAAATACATATAAATATATAATGTTATAATAAATACTGTATCTGCCAGAAGGAGAAAGCCAGAAAGTAGTACTTCTAAGTATATGTACTTAATCCCAGTACAAACTGCAGAGAGAACTGTTCAAATGAGATACAAGTGTGCGCTAACCCCTCATAGGCAATCAAAACTTTACTCATATCAGGTGGCACGTTAAGGTGATAAGTTGCAACATTTGGAGCAAAGTTTATAATACAATGGGGTGTCATAGATTAACGAGGCGCTGAATTATGAAATATTAACTCCTCAAGACGAAGAGTCGAGCTGTCAGATTTTTTTTGGTTTGTTTTATCTTCCAGAACTATTTGAAATACGTGGTTAAAGTAAATTTTAAATAAGAGACGATAGACTTTCCAAAGACAGTCGCTACTTTTTTTGTTTTAACCAAACAGTTTTGGAAGCGGTAGAGCGTTGTCTTATTACTTGGGAAAAGTTCTGAAGTTCTGCTGGGAAGTCTACTAAGAATATGGATAATGGTCAGGTTAGTATGAGCAAATGTGTGTCAATAAGACAATACATACACAAAGACACACATGTTTCCAATAGAATATATTTGATACCCCTCCTACACAGCCACGTGCATGCGTGTCCAGTTTTCTGAGTGGGGATGTGACCGAAGTCAACACAAGAAACGCTGAGGACTATAGCAACCGCGCCATGCCCGATACGTCGGTAATCTGATTCACATGAATTGTGTTCAAGTGAAGACAAAAGCTGACCGTTTGACGACTGTTGACACCTGCGCCATTGTCTACGACCCAACGAATCTCGCTAATAAAAGCGCCTTGTCGGCCTCGCTCAGCCGCAGTTATCCTTTCATTCCAGTCGTGTGGCATACATCATGTCCTGTGTGGAGCTAGATTTTCATAGCTTCTAAATTGCTTAACAAATAAGTGCTTAAAAAACAAGATTTCTTCCAAAAATGGTTAGTTCTTTATTGCGACAAATCAAAGCGGTTCCAAGCTTAATTAATGAATTACTTTACATATATAACAGATCGCGTTATTATTGTTATCGTTGTGTCTTGGTGATATTGTTGCCCATCGTTTGGATAATAATCTGTTCAAGCCTGTTCTTGACTTCAGTGGGTCCGAAGTAACGCCCGCGTTACCAAAGAACTCAATCGATGAGTTTCAGAACCCGGTTGAGGACGCAATATTTTCGGAGTTACGCGATAGTGATAGCGCTAGAGGTGTACAAAGACGCGGTGATGTTGGTAGAAAAGATCTGTTGCAACATCTTTACGCAGCTTACGGATGCTTGAGCTCCTTTGAAAGTTGGACGAAATCAAAAGATAATATAGATTTCGATTCGCTGCCGAGCAAAGGCTTTGAATGCAAGAGGTACAGTAAGAAAATATTTAAAAGTGATCTGTGTATCTTTTAACCAGATGAACCTATGTAGACTTTCACTTGAGAACGTTGTTTGTTGCTTTTTAGATCAGAGCCACCCAAAGACAATTTACCAATAAAAATCTTCAGTCAGCAGCAGATGCAGTCGTCACCTGATGGGCAGAGAAATGAGCGTACGCTTAGCAAGGACAAGACCGCTTTGACTGATAACAAGTTTCTTCACGCTTTGCCTATTTCTTACTTTGCAGACTTTTACAAGGATTTGCTGATTGACACGAGTAAGGTAGATGCTAAGCGAGCCGGTACTGCTCCGGTAATTGGCTGTGATTGTAAAGTTAAGGTAAGATTGGTGTCAGAAGCTCGGTGTAAAGGTAGAATGCCATGATGAGTAAAAGATGTGTGTGGGTATGTAGCAAAAGGCTGTTTTCATCCATTCCCAAATTTGTCGACAAAATTAATCTGCATAAAAACTTTTAAGACATCTGTATTTCGAACGAAGTAAAATCTTGTGTATTTTGGTTAATTTAAGCTATCGAAAAACAATATCAGAAAAAAGAGGACTTTTCACTGGAAATCACTGGAATATTTTCAGGGCTAGTTTATCATAGAGCAAATAATATGAAGGAAATTATATGTAGTTGTGAGCTTATAAATATCTGGAGTAATCAAATAAAGTACATCATATTACTTCTTACTTTTTCTGCACATTTCTTCGACATAATAATTTATTATTCGACTATATGAATGAATGGGTCCAAAAAACTGTGAGGTCGGCATGCAATTTGTATCTGAACCAAAATGTATATACTTGACCATTTAAATGTTTCTTCATAAAACCATATTACAATGCCAGTACAATGCAGCCACCTCATATCAACTTTTACTGTACCCATCATGAAAGTACTATTTGAATGACAATATATATTATTTAACCACTTCAATCGATTCATTACCGCTACAACTTCTTTCAGATCGATCTCTTGGACTTAGGTCAACAGCACTACCCACGCTATCTCATGAACGCAGTTTGCCAAAATAGCCAATCACCTAACCAGTATCCACAGAAATGTTGGCGGGGTTCCTACTGCAAGCCACTAGAGTATAAAGTTAAAGTACTTACACCACGTTCCCTATTGGAACCGACACAAAACGATCCGGCGTTGGCTTGGTTACCCGATGAATTGCGACAAGAGTGGAAATTCAAAACAGTCACTGTGGCGGCGGGTTGTTTTTGTTCGTACTGATGCCATTACCGTTATTTGAGATTGAAAATATTTCGAGAGCTGAAAGATAATACTACATATGATATTGAACTGAACGTTTACATTTTAACGTATTGATATAATTATATAATATTTGGTGTAATATTTATTTGCACCAAACATAGTTTTGACGTTAAATAATGTGATAAATACAATACTTGTACATATGTTATGTATCGAAAATTGAAAATGCAAATGTGTTAATAAACACAAACAAATTTTATATTGCGAATTTTTCTTAAAAACTGATAAAACAAGTATAGTAAAGAAGGGCTAAATTCGGTTGTAGCTGAACATTTCATACACATGTAACTTCGAGGAATCAAAAGCGGGCAAATAGCAGCAAGTGTTGTCAAAATTATTTTTTTTTTTTTAAGTTGCGAAAGAATTCAAAGTTCATTGTTCGACGAAATCGAAAATGGCTTCCAATCAAATTGGGCATATCATTAATTTGTACTATAGGTGATATTCTCACACACGATTTTATTCATTTCATGCACAAAGATTCATTGTTATTAGAAAAACACAATCTCTCCTTCGCATTAAGCTAACCCGCAACCCATTTTGTACATACAGACAAGCTATTATAGGGAAAGGAATCCCTCCGAATTTCAATAATATATCGCACAGATTGATCGATATTTTCGATAAAAAGTTCGTAATTGGAATTGTGGAACACATATTCGGCATGAACAGTTGTTACACGATTTTGACAATTTTTGGTCATCTGTGGCACCTTAAAGGTACTATTCGTACAAAGTTGTATCTCGATATATTCATTGGTGCTTGATTTGTATACTGGAAGCAAGATGAAAATTGTGTGTAGTGTGTGTAGGCGTGGTGTTTGTCGATTCGCCGATTTCGCCCGCGAACTGTAATGTAGAACTGGCGGGATAACCTTACCTGCCGAATATGGTTGAAATCGGTCGAGTAGGTCCCGATATGTGGGTTTTCACCTAAATGTGGGCGCTTCACGTCCATCGTCCAAATTTTACATCTGCTTATATAAAGCCCTTTTGTACTCTTTCTTTTAATAGTTTTTAACAAAACCGTTATATGGGGAGCGGGCGGGTTACAGACGGACAGACACTCACCCAGATTTCAACACGTCTCCTCATCCTGATCATTTATATAGAGATAACTCCATATCTAACTCGATTAGTTTTGGGTGATACAAACAACCGTTAGGTCAACAATATACATACATATATAATTTATAGGCCGCTAGGGCCATATGTATTATCTGCAATCTCATAGATATGTGAGAGCGCAACTATACAACAACTATCTTAACATTAATAAAAAGATGAGAGGACTCTCTTCTACAGTTCAGTATTGCATCTTCGATTCGCCACTTCTCTGCTCCCTTTGTTTGTGCTCTTTCGCAAAAAAGTTTACACCTGGAAACGAAAACAAAATTTTTTCAATAAAATTCAATGAATGAAAATACATAAATACATTAACATATTAATATTGAACCCTTATATGATTACCGATGGTGACACAATTTATATCAGTTACTTGTTCTATTCATCACTCTCAAGCTTCGTTAAAAGATGACTGCTTAAATTTATGTTTGATATTCTTCCAAGGTCTTTTCTCATCCAAAGTGAAAATACTTGTCGTAACAATTTTTTTTTTGGTACTAATTTTTTTACCCATCCAACTTAAGTATTTAAAGATTTCTTTCATATCAGAGTTCTTAATAAGGATCTTTACTTATCCAATCCACATGTGAAAACTTTTACTCTATTAAAATGAATTTATGTCAACACTGGACTGCTCATATACATAAGTGAATATTCTACCGAGCATTATTTTATAAGACTATAAAAGTCAATTCCCAGTAATGTCAGATAAAACGTAAGTTAAAATTTATTTAGTTTCTCATTTTGTTACAAAATTTCCATTGACTCAAACTCAAAACCCACCAAAAACGCAAATGTAAAATAAAAATTAAGAAGAGAAGTTTCGCATGATGAATGGTGGGCCCTGTCCTCGATGCAGTGCACTACTACGGCCATGTTGTCGATGCGGTGCAATACCGTCAAACCTCGCATTTCTTAAAAAAGTGCTCAATAAACCAAAGTTGACCAAAAGATGCCGACACAAGAGACCACGATGTGTCACATTGGCCGCAGGCGGAGACAGTATTGATTGTCTGTGCTGTTTCGACGAAAATTTGGCAGCCAGGAGTGATCGTCGTCTGCAGACATGGCAACGCGAACTGCAGTTGCGCAACAACATAGCTGATCGGCTCGTGCAACGCACCGGCAAAGCATACTGCGAGCTGCTCTTCAATCGCAGTGTCACTGTTGATGGACGCGACAAATCGATGACTCAGCGACTATTGGCGCATGCGGAGAGCGTAAGACCGCAAGCTCATCAAAAGAAGGCTGCCTTCACGGAATGTTATCCAAATGGCTGTTGTACAATGGAGCTGATTTCCACACAACCTGCTAAACAGCGATATTTTGAAGTTTCTGGCCTGCCAGCGGGTGTAAAATGTGAGCTCATCGGTGAGAATTGCTGTGTGCGCCGATCGGGTTGGGTCACCTCGAGAGCAGTACAGGAAAATATTGCCGCCAAAGTCAGAGATATCCGACGTGTTTTACCATTTTTCCCAGAAATCGAGTATTTGCAAATTATTGGTAGACAAATGAAACTTTATGAAAAGCCACAAAACTTTGATGAATATGCTTGTTTGGAAGAAGTGGATGAACAGGAAAATATCGATGAACCTTGCACCATCGAAACCTGTCCGACCTATGCGAATATTGCGATTGCGAAAGAAGCAGAGGATTGTGAAGTTGCGACGGATGAAAACGCTCCGGAGGTGAACGAAGCAGAGCAGCAGCAGAAAGGTGTGGATGATATGGAAGCTGCAGAATGTGTAGAAGCGGAACCTTGCACCATCGAAACCTGTCCCACCTATGCGAATATAGCGATTGCGAAAGATGCAGAGGATTGTGAAGATGCGACGGGTGAAAACGCTCCGGAGGTGAACGATCCCGATGATCTGGAAGCTGGAGAATGTGTAGAAGTGGATGAAAATATGGCAGCGCTGGCAGTTGATGAACAAGAAATTGATGCGATTAGCTGTTCTGATAGCGATATTGATTTTTATAGAGAGCTTCTTTCGAATAGAGCGAAATGTCACGATATCTTCTACAGGCTTTAAACATGTGCTGTGCTTCAAAGGTTGCCATAGATCGTCTTGAGTAAGAGCGTAAATTTATGTGCCTGAAGAGTTAAAGGAGTTTTTGAAAATCAATGTAGGGTTTAAATTTATGGGGTTTGTATGGAATATGTTCATTTCGCTGGATTCCGATTACACTTCGTTTCCTTTGTCAGGCAGATAAATATGCTTTTACTTATGAAATATCTTACAACCTTGTGGAGATCTCTAATATTTTTAATGTTAGGCAGTGAAGAGAAGTAAAACCAAAAGGTTGATATTTTTATAACTACAAAAACAATTCATAAGTAATACAGAAAAAAGTTGCTGGAGTAACAGCGCGCTTCGTTTATAAAAATTAAGCATTTCGTGGCAACCGTCCGTATTACAAATTCGCAACATTTGAGTAACCCTGTATAAATATATATTTAAAACTTTTATTTAGCATTCAAAAATCTTAAAATCATTGCAGTAAATAAAATAACGGAAAAAATAAAAACAACGCTTAGATTTTGCATTTACTTTTATTTTGCGCAATTTTTATTGCATAGAAAGTACTACAATTAGAAGACTTTTTAGAAAAATAAACTTTCAATGCTCTTTGTCAGTGATTTCTCGTATTGTGCATTAATCATTACTAGGTTTGTAATTACATGTGATGACTCAAATAAAAGTAAAGGATTTCAAAGAAGACTTGAATAACTACTTTTATAAAATCTAAAATGTGAATATCAATCAAATTTCAATCATTTACATTTATAATATTATTTTACTGGCTTAAAGAAACTTTAATATCGAAAAAGGTGTTCTAATAATGCGACGCTTTTTTCATTGATTTGAAATAAATAAGTGTTATAAAGTTTTCGTTAAATGTGCTTATATTCAGTAATTATATATTGCTAAAGCAGGTATATTATGCAAGTCTTCAGTTTTCAAATTTTTTATAGAGGATTTCCGAAAGTTTTCTTTAATATAACTTATACTATATCAGTTGTAATCGGCAAGTGCGTGAGAAAAGAGATTATTTTGTTAAATTATTTATTTAATGAGTGAATTCAGTATATTTAAATCTTTCTAAAAAATAATATTTATGATTTTTCAATGTACGTCATGAAAGCCAAGTTAAAGCTTTTCGTGTGTCTCTAAAAGGGGCAATTCAAATCAGTTGCAGTAATTCAATTCAACTTAGAAGTTTTATAATTAGTAATGATTTATAAAATAAAATAAAGTAAGATGCTTTTATCCACAGTGTATCCTTCTTCGGTGTAACGTTTTTCCACCGTGTATATTTTTCGACCCGTCAACGTTTTTACGTTCTTTAAATTTATTTATGGCTACGAAATATAAATGTACACGCGTTCTCGCTTTCTTTTTATTGTATTTCTAATGCATTCCCTCATGATACACATACATACACACTCTTTGCCTTAAATAATTACTTATAAACTAATATGTACGCAGTCGTTATCATTATGTCGCCGCTGAGTTGTGGGTTAAAGTATTTGTCGGTGTTGCCGGCGCATCGTTGGAACTTTGCATCAAGGCTGCATAGTCAGCATTTGAAGAAGTCGCATCTTTGTCGTAGGCAGGCTCCTTCGCATTTTTATTGCTCGGCGTGGGCGTACGAAGATCCTCCTCTTTGACTTGCGTTTCTGTGCTTTTCACAGGCGTAGTTGTGGTTGTCGCTTCAAGTGATGATTCGGCTTTGAGCACCTCTGTTTTCACCGACACAACGGGATCCAAGGGCAGCTCATCGACTACGGCGTCTATGTTGAGCGCATCGTAGGGTGTTATGAAATCAGTACTGCCCCCACTACTGCGTATGCTAATTTGTGAGCCGACAGTTGCGACGCCATTATCCTTGAAGACAACGCTGCTGCCGAAGCGCACCAAGCTGCCGGCTCCAGTGCTGTCCACCTGATCGCCAGTATGTGATTCGGAGGCGGGTGTGTGCGGTGTGCTGCGCGAACGATGCGCGTGATGTTGGCGTATAGCCAGAGAGAGGTCGACCTCGATATCCGAGTCCATTTCGTTTTCGGAGAGT